CTAAAATTTGCTCAAAATTTTGGCTTTCAGTTGAGTTGTGTTCAGGGTGCCATTAGACATGGGCTTAAGTCCTGCAGAAAGGAAAGGGTCTGTACACACGGACGGGGACACTCTCTCTCTCTCTCTCTCTCTCTCTCTCTCTCTCTCTCTCTCTCTCTCTCTCTCTCTCACTAAGACCAGATTTTCTAAAATGTCTCAAGTATAAATATACAAACAAAGCTTTAACTGTAGTGGGGGAAAGGGAGGTTGACCATACCCCAATAATGACTATGAGGAAGTGTCTGAAAACGACCCCCCATGCCAAAATTTTGGGGCCTTAGTTCTCTAATGAAAACTAATATAGGTTCTTTTTGGAAGGGATTTTGCAGATGTAATTAAAGTTTCAGGTTAAGTGGCCATAAAATACAGTGATTATTTGGGTAATCTAACCTAGTCAGATGAACCACTTGAAGGTGGGGTGTCTGTAAATGGGAACAGAAGAGGAAATTAGAGATTCAAAGCTTAGGGGGATTTGGTGCACTGTTCTTGGATGGGAGAGGAAGAGGCCTTGTGCCAAAGACTGCAGGTGGCCTAAAGAGCTGAGAGTGGTCCCTGGCTGACAGCCAGAGAGGAAATATGGACCTCAGTTCATATTTGGCAACAATCTGAATAAGGAAATTCTTTCTTAGAAGCCCCATATAAAAGCTTAGCCTAGTGGCACCTTGATTTCAGCCTTGGGAGAGCCTATGTAGAGAGCTCATTTGACTTAAAACTGACCTATAGAAGTGAGAGATTACTAATTCCAGAGGCATTCCATGCACAGGACTTTGTTGGGCATTGGTAGAAATCTAATGCTGTAATATAATATGGTGTAGGTTTGCATACTGTAGGCTTCGGGTCCCCAGTGTGGTGGGAGGCTTAGAGACCCTGAAATCCTGTGATATGTAGTGCATACCCAGTGTTGAATAGTAAACGACAGAACAGGCTTGGGAGAAACAGAGAGACATAGGTTATTGCAGATTGTGAGTCACTAGAATCCGCAGACTGATGAAGCCCACAAAAACCCACTGTCCCATTTTCAGAAAGTCCAAACCAGTTTACTCTTGGAATACAGTACTTTTGCTGACCCCCCTTCCCATTAAATAACAGTCTTGACTTCTTCGTGGGTTCTGACCCCCTTTTTACAAGAGAGTGATTTAGTAAGTATATTCTTGATGATCTAGACAGCAGAAAATAAATCCATCATTAAATCCTTGTTATTGAGACAAAATAGAAACTCGACTTTGAGAGAAAGGTCATTTCTTTCAGTAGGATCCTGTGTCTTTATCATATGCTTCTATTAAAAATAATGAACAAATATTTTATTTTGGGCTTTTGATTAGAGAAACTTGATGAAGTCTGGAAGAGTATGGAGTTACCCAACTTCAAAGTCAGGATGCAGATTAGGACAGAGATGACCCCATGACAACTATACTATAATTTTATTTCTGGATTGGGTTTTGTACTATAGTTTTACTCAAGTGCTGGCGGAAAACAGTCCTGCACAGATTCCTGGTGTTTCTGCACATCTTCTTCACAGACACATTTACAGCTTCCTCCTGAAGTATCTTTTCAAGTGTGTTTACATGGCAAACCGATTCAGAAGATAAAAGCCGGGTCTGGGTACCAGAAAAAAAGAGAGATTTGTTTGCTGTCCAGCATAGTAAAGATAAGATCTCCTCTCAGACCCAAACATAGGCAGGTTTAAGAGCATTTTCTTTCAAATGTTTGGTGATTCTTGAGCTGAGGGTGTCTCAGCTGTGATGCAAACCCTGTGAGCAAGGGGTGACCAGTATGTTCTGGTTTGCCTAAGGTTTTATTATTCCAGCACAGAAAGTGCTGGAAACCAGGAAAAAAAACCCCAGTCTTAGGGAAACAGGAAAGGCAGTCACCAGAGTGAACTGTATCTTCTTCATTTGCTCTGTGTTCCCCCTGTGGAAATAGGAAACGCAGATACTGGTTCAGTTCTGTCAGGGATGCTGAAAGATGAAGGGCTTTACTGAGAAGCTTCATCTTTTTGCTAGCATGCTCAAAACTATGGCACACACTAACTTATTGGGTAGCAAATGAAGAAAGACCTGCTTTTTGCAAATAATTGTAGAAGTGTAGTTGAGGGGGCATGTCTATTTTAGATTAAAAGGTGGAAACTGACAGAAACTTTCTCAAGTTTTTCCTAAAGCCGCTTCTGAAATGGCCACCGACCTGATCATTTCACGAGAGCTAAGAACCTGGGTTTTTAAGGGTTCCTGTGGCTTTTTGCCCTCGTGCTCATTCAGCATATATGGGAGTATGTTGACTGATTTCTAAACATTTAAGAATTTTCTAATCACCTTTAACTCCATGTCTTTACTGATCAGAAAATATCACGCGACTTCTGTTCTTTGGCACTGGCAAAGATCTGCCTTGGTGTGTTAGGTGAATGTCCACATTCATTTGTCAAAACTGTTCTATGAGATTGTTGGCTGCAGTGTCGGTCTGACAGCGAGGGAGGGTGGTGGGCTGTCTGTCAAATATGTTATATTTGGTTATTTTTTATTGTCATTCTTTGATTATTTTATCAGCTGTGGTTACATTTTTAAGTATGGTTGTGGATGTACCTCCCTTGTCTATGTAGCAAACAGAAAATAATGCTCTACCTTCCTGAATACTTGATTCTTTTATTATTTGTCATTCAAGTCTACTTTGGTGTTAATAAAGCAAACACTAGCTTTCTTGACATTTGCATGGCATGAGTTTTTCTATCCCTTTTACCTTCAAGTGTTCTTTGTCCTCTTTGAGGAAAAGCTCACACATACTTGGGTATTGGTGTAATTTTTTTTTTTTCACATTCAACATGATAGTCTTGGCTTATTTACATCTCATGTAACTGTTAATATTGTTGGATTTAAATCTATGCTCTTTTCTCAATGTCCTCAATGTTCATGGTCTTTTATTGAATCTTTCTTTGATTGTTTTAACTGGGTCTTGTTTATTCTGTATTCCCTTTACCAACTTTTTAGTTATTGTGATGCTTAACTTCCACTGGCCCTCTTCATTTTTTGCTTTCTCACTTACCTAGATGTGAATGAGCATCCTCATACTTCTGCTACTATAGCCAAGGACCACACCCTCCTTCATGCTTTCCCCACCATGACTGACTACAACCCAAGCCATGATCCAAAACTCACATTTCTTAGTTTCCTTCTTGGTAGACATTTTCACCCAGTGATGAGAAGAGTAAATGATACAGTTATACATTTAAAATTATTCTTTTGGCCCAGTGAGAAGGTTCAATGTTAAAGGTACTTGTTTCTGAGCCTAGTGACTTGCGTTTACTCCTTGGAACCCACAGGAGGGAAGGAGAGAATGAGCTTTTAAAAAGTACCCTCTGACTTCCACATACCATAGCCCTAAGTAACTAGAAAAATAAATATTAAAACGTGTTTTAATTATTTTAATTTAATTACAATGTATATGTTCGTATCTCATTGAACTCATATTAATATTAAGAAATGCTAGTTACTAATACGAGGCCTCATAGTTTGACTCCAGTTATCTGGCTGCCATTATTTGTGCTGTTTTCATCTTAGATTTTTACCGGTGGCATGAGACATTAGCATGAGTTGAGAGGCATTTGAATGTGGCTTTGAACCCTCCTCTCAATTCCTTCCCTGTCTGAGATTTTGAGGCTCAATTTCAAGTTGTCTTGGCAGTTCTGAACTCCAGCCAGGTTTTCCTTATTCCAGTAAGACCATCACTTTCAGTGCAGCTATATGCCACCCCACCCACCTCACAGTTTGAAAAATGCCCTCGGCAAAGCCACAGCATGAAGGTAGTGTGTACCATATGTGCTTCTCTCACAGAGCTGAGCCGGTCCTGTCTGTCCTGGTTTCCTGCCAATGACTTCAACTGGCTGATTTATCTACGTTTTCCAGCATTTATAGTTTTTCTTTTTCCTGTTTCCCCCCCCCAGCAGAAAGATTATTTCAATACCAGCTACGTTCTCATGCATGGCTGAGGTTGGAAGTGACTTTGACATTTTTTTAAAAACAGAAATGTCCTGTCATCTCCTATTTGGTACATGCATAATGGAGCTAACCTAAACACAGGATTATTTGTAAAATCACAGTTTGAGAATAATATTGTTTTCTTATATTCTCTAGTGTTTTCCAGTAATTATATTTTTAGCATGGTTAAGAACTTACAAATCTAAGTAAACTGTGTTTCAATGCATTTTAGATATTATTTTTAATGCTGTTCCTATTATTAACTATTGACTGCCTTTTTAAGTTAGCATGTCTGAGTCTTTTACAAGTCTAGGTGAGTTTGGTAACTCTTTCCGGTGATAGGCTTGGGGATTTCTCCTTCACACACCCAGAATCTGATGTGGGTTTAAGGGACCCAAGGTAGAGTATGAGAGGGGAATCAAAGGGAAGTTGTATTTTCCGAGCACCATTACACCCCGGGGAAAGCAAAGAACCTAGAGAAGAGCTGATGGTAAAGGCGGATGGAACTTCATGGTTCCTACAGGTCAGAGAAACATTCATGGAAAGGGGCAAGTGAGGGTAAAATTAACACAGGTAAAGGAGGTAAGCAGACCAGGAATGAAGGCCTGGTGACTGGGGTTAAATAAGAATTAGAGGAGCCCGTTGTTCTGAACTAAGCTGATGCAATGGGCACAGACAAACCAGGTCAAATGAAGTCATTTGTTCTAAATGTCTGTTTTGCCAAGCTCCAGCTAAGTTGATGTTTGGCCTTCCAGTCAATCATGAAGCAGCTGGTGGGGAAGGGTCCATTTCCCAAACAAGCCGTTTTTAATGAGTGTTATGAGTTCACTCCATGCCTGCGTGTATAGGAGCCCCAGAGTGACATGTTAACTAGTTGGTTGTCTTTCCCTAGCTCTGTTGCCCTGTCTCCAACTTTGAAATTACAAATGTCAGTTTTGTTATTAGTTTCTGTTTTTCTAGCCTTCTTGTCTATAAAACTTACCTTTCCTGGTCAGCCTGCCAGATACTCTTCCTATTCTATGCACATGGCACACCACCAACTCTAAAGCTGGAAACAAAGACAATCAAGGCGATTACACTTTGTGGTAATTTTTAAAATCAGTTTCTGTATATATAACGTATTGCCTGATGTAGTCACATATGTATTAGGTGTGACACTTGTCAGGCCATTTTGGAAATGGAAGTATAGAAATGGTTGAGAATGTGAACACTTTCCCATTGCCTGAAAGAAGTCTATACATGATACATATTTCCTCTAACACCAACAGGTTCTATTTTACAGGCACTTATTACAGGGTAGGTTCTATAATCTTTTCTAATGAAGTTTCTAGTCGGTGAATATATCCTTTATGCCTGCACTCTTTTAGCATTTGTTGTCTTTTAAAAAATGATTTCTGTATTTCCTTTACTGAGACTTTCACACACACGTGTGTGCATGCATACTTATTTGTGTGGGAGTATGGGCTCATGAGTACAGCTGCCCATGAAGAACAAAAGAGGTTATCTGAGTCCCCTGGGGCTGGGTTTACAGGCCACCATGAACTGCCTTGGGTCCTCGGAGCCAAACTTGGTCCTCTGCAAGAGTAGCACTTACCCTCTGAAGTGCTGAGACATTTCTTCAGCCCCAATCATTGTTTTCTCTCAGTGACAGCTAATTTTGTCATTTTCTGCTTTGTTTGTTTTCCTTGTTTGAGTCAGGGCCTCCCTTCACAGTCCAGGCTTACAACCCTCTTGCTTCTGTCTGCCAAGTCCTGGCATTCTAGGCCAGGTGCCATCATGCTTGACTGTGATTTTGTGCTGTGACAGTGGCACCTTATATCTTAACCAGAATAGTATCTGTTTGAATGACTTAATCATTTCAGCATATCAAGGATCAAACAATTCCTATGTCACCAGCAATTGCATAGACTCAAGCACAAGAATTTTAAAGCATATCTGTTGAGCACACTTTCATTCTGAACAAAGTTTGCCTGGAAAATATTTCTTTACAGTGTTTAGAAAATGAAGCCCCCTAGTCCGCCACATTGTCTCAGCAATGTATTTCCCTTACTTTAAGTATTGGGATGAACTGTAGAAAAAGAACAAGTAAAATGTTTTCTATATCATAAATCTCTATTTGTTATTTCAATTATATGTTTAAATATGCTTATTTAATTAACATTTCTAAGAAGCCTAGCAAATAACCTGTTAGTTAATATATTCTGTAGAAGAGCTGGTAATTTTTTAGAGAAATTCTATTGACTATTTTACATTCACATTGTTTATATAGAATTATTAATACACATTTATTAGCAAATAGGCTATTAATTAATCTTTTCTATGAGGGAGTTGGAGGTCTTTAAAGAAATTCCAGGAATGAACAGTATTACTATTTGTAATGTACATTTTCTAGACAAGAGTTATTAGTATGATAAAGTTTTGAGGTCATCGGAGGAGCATAGTGATGTTACTATTGACAATAACTGTGTTCATGTGTGATAGATGGCTTTGAGTCATCTGTGCTACGAGTTAATGTCTCTGGCATGAATAATATTATTAAGTCTAGTGGCAGAGGCACATAAGAGATAAAAACTGTTTGGGAAGAGCAAGAACTTCTTTGGGGACAGACATAGGGCTATCAGAGAGCATTGCCTCCTTCTACCTAGCAGTCTTGGTATTCTGTGTTTCTCTTAATCTCAGAGTTCACCACAGTGGAATCATTCCAAACAGAGGGAATGAGTAATGCAAGAGCGTAAGGCGAGAAGGCTAGAGGACAGGCAATGCTCTGATTAACTGGCCGTGATAAGGAGCCTGCCTTTTGTTTTGTACCAGAACCAGTGAAAACAGCTAGTCGTATTATATAAAACCTACAGAAATTTAGCACAAAATATCCAGAAGATTGTTAGTATGAGAGATTAAGGGAAAGGACAAAGAACTGGCAAGCTTCTGATTTTGGTGGAGCTGGAGTAGGGTAACAAGCTTTTGGGGAGGGTTAATGTGGTGAATACAGTATCTGTGTGTCCCTTTATACTTAATCAGAGTTCTATGTGAATGCATCTGGCAAGTATTTGTTTTAACCTTAGGTATCTTGTCGGTTAACCTCCCTACTGCTCCCAGAGAGTGAAATGCATCCCAATGTTTTTATTAGGAAACATCTGTCTTGTCTTGCTGCCCTTTCACTGTTTACTTGTTCTGTGGGCTTTTGTGTCCCTTGAATAATGTCATGTTCTTGGTGGATAGTTTTATAATGAAAACACACACATAGGGCTGTTTGTCATAGAGATAATACCAGTCTCTTCTAGAGAGCATCATTGCACAGAAGTGGGCCTGGATGAAAATTAGAAGAGTATGTCTTGTCAGTTGCAACTCTGAATGGGATTTCAGAACATGCTAACTGATTTGAAGTGTAAGGGACAACCAAACTGCCTATCCTTGGGGAAGACACAGACAGCACTGCAGCAGACATGACATGCAGGACAGTACTGGAAAGAGCCATCAACATAGGGGATTACTAACATGTAATTTTGATTGGCACAAGAGCCTGTTAGATTAGCTGTTATCAATCATCTTGACATTTATTTCATGTACAGTTTTAAAATCAAAATGTTTTCATGCTGACATCTTAGTTTGCTTTCTATTGGTGTGCTAAAGACTCTGACCAAAACAGCTTGGGGAGGGGAAGGTTTATATGGCATACACTTCCACATCACAGTCTATCATGAAGAAAAGTCAGGACAGGAACACAGAGCTATCTGTCTCGGCTTTTTATATTAAGAAATACTTTTAACTCTATGTCTTGTGCGACATTAAATGTCAGTGCAATCTTCACAATGCACCCAGACACCACCAAGAAGTCTTTTTGCCCCTCCTAGGGATGTGATGGTCTTATTGCTGATAAAGCAAAACAGTGCCCATGACAAAAACCTTTGTCTCAGAATTAAAGTTGACCCTGATCAGCATTGTCCATAAAAACTGAACTTATAAAGAGGGAAACTGTATTACAATCCAGAATCTAACAGTGAAAGTGAATTTGAGAGCTCCTAAGGGTGATGCTTTGTTTCAGCCTAAAGATGAATATATTCTGAGGAGTAAGAGGTGCTGGCATTGTCTGCTTCATGCTTCCTCATTAACCCAATTTCCCCTGCCTACTCTATCTCCAGTCATCCCTGGGATGTGCTAATTGTAATGTCTCTGGGATCAATGAGAGGTAAACCACACAGGTAGAAAACAAATTAACTGTAAAATCACCAATTATATTTCATAACATCCCCAGACTTTGTCATCATCCTGTTTCTCTTTTTTAAAGGAGCTATGGTAAAGCTAATGAACTTTTAATCCTATATTTATGAAGTTAGTGTTCACTACTGCCTAGATGCAATGTTGTTAGTTGTTCTTTCTGTCTCACCAATTAACAGGAAGGCTTGAGATCCGTGTTTTAGATCTCTCTTGCCTGTCTCCTTTTGTGCCTGTACTCAGTCTGTAAGATTTTCTGCTTCTCCATTTCAGTTCTTTTTTATCTGCATCTCACAGTAGTAATAACGAATGGATGGAAATTGCTCACAGTTTGGTAGTAATTTATACTTTTGAATTCATTACTATTTTAGTTTAAATTAATGACTTGTGGAAGGTAGACTGATGATATTTTCATTTCTGCTTTTCAGATGAGGAGATGGGTCTTATTTTTAAATGTAAGAAAAATAGCATTTCCTAGATCTACCATCACAGCTCTGAAAGTACAGCATGAAGTTGGGAGTCAGCCTATAGGTAGGACATCAGGAATACACATCCTGGCTATGACACTCATTGGCTGCATGTTATTGAGAAAAAGTCATTTGTATAAACCTCAATTTCTTATTCTAAAGAGGTAAGAATGATGGAAGAAGAAGCAAACATCACATCTGAACACTGAGCTAAACTCTTGGAATCCAGTTGCAGACAGGGAGTAGTGATGAACAAATAGGTCAAGACCAGGCTGGACAAACCCATAGAAACTGCTGACTGAACCGGGGGGGGGGGGAGCTCATGAACCCCAGACTGATAGGTGGGAAACCAGCATAGGACTGTCCCAGATTCCCTGAATGTGGGGTTAGTTGGGAGGACTGGGCAGTCTATGGGGCCTATGGTAATGGATCAGTATTTATCCTTAGTACATGAATGGACTTTTGGAGCCCAATCCACATAGAGGGATACTCTCTCAACCTAGACACATGGGGTTGGGCCTGGGCCCTGCTCCAAATGATATGACAGATTTTGAAGGCTCTTATGGAAGGCCTTGCTCTCCCTGGGGAACAGAAAGGGGATGGGATGGGGGTTGAGGGAATAGGAGAGAAATAGGGGAAGAGGGGAAATGGAAGGGTGCAGGAACTGGGATAGGTAAAACAAGCTTGTTTCAAATTTAAATTAAAAATTATATGAAAATAAAAAAAGAAAGAATAAAAGAATGGTGATATTTACACCTCTCTCAATGGGATGTTAGGAACTATCTAGGCCATTACTATAGTTACATATTATTATTATCATCATCATCATATTTATTCATTTATTCAACAAACATAATTGAGTGTCCACTATGTTCTAGATATTTTCAGTAAGACAGACACACATGGAATATACATACCTAAATATCCATGTTCAGTCAGATACCTGAGTGAAGCAAGAGAACCCAAGGGCACTCAAAAGTCAGTCAAGACTTTGATGAGGAGCTAACTGGGAGACTATGGGAAGGAAGGAGCAGGAAGACAGCATACACACTCTCCAGAAAGCAAACAGGGAAGTGTTCAAGATGGTGGTGGTGCCGAGCTGATCAAATGCCTCTGACAGTGAGAGTCAATGAAAGCCTGCAAATGAGACTTGGATCTTGGCATGGAGGGCATTAATGATGCCTTTGAAAAGAGCATTGCTTGTGAAAGGTGAGAGCAGAGTAAGCAACTGCTTAGAACATAGGAAGTATCAGAATGAATTTCTCCTGTAATGCACCTGATATATATATAAAAAAAAATAACCATCTCTTGGTAACGGGGCTGACTGGCACCCACACTACTGCAATATACCTATTTGATGGGAGATGTC